TATGAATGCTAAATTACAAATTAAATTATTTTTCCTTGTTCTGTAAAAAAAGAACAAAAAATTATTGAATGCTGTTAGTGAACAGGTTGAATCGTTCTCCGGTTTCTGCTTTCAAAGAGGCAATTTTATAACTTTTATGCTCCTCAAAAAATCTCTATTCAACAATTTCTCTCTTTGAAAAATAAAATGTGTTTAAATTGAATTCTCAATTGAATTTATTTTTAAATAGTTCTTATTTTCCTAAAATTTATTTTTTACTGTGGTATGCTAAGATGATGATGATGCTAAAAATAAATGTTTCAGCGTGAATCAACGTGGTGTTCACCGTATAATCATGTCATACTACATTATCAGCAACAGCATCTTCTTAAAACTTTTGAATAATATAGCAATTTTGTCATTAAATAGATCCTCTCTTTCAAAATGAATGCATTTGCATTTTGATGTGAACATTTAAATACGTTTATCACCTTCACATAATTTAATCCAATATTCCAAGCATACATTTGTAATTAATTTCATTCATTAATTGTTCTGCTTGTTGATACAACGCTGATCGATGAATTTTACAACGATTCAGAATGATACAATACAATAATTCTACCAAAGCAAACAAAATTCCAAAATTTTAAATAACGAGAAATTCCCATTTAAATCATCAATGTTTACTTCAATAAACAAACTGTACGAGATTAATTAATTTCAATCAGCATACCTTAAAATATCACAAATTTGATCACATAAAATTAAAACTTAACTTTGATTTATGCTTCTTTTCAAATATTTAGTTGTTTTTAAGAATAGCTTAAATAAGAAGATTTTCAAAAATTTCTTTCCCGAATTCAAAATTCAGATTTCATTCAGAAAGACTTCTAAAATTTTCATGCTGCCTTTTTTTTCGTTGTTGTTATTACTGAAAGGGAAGATGGGAGAGTTTTCTGAAATTCCTTTCACAATTATTTCCAGGAAAAATTGTCCATTCATCATAATGATACTCTTTTAAGTTCGCCAAAAACAAGTTTTCATGAAAATTTTGCTGGCACAAATCAATTCGTTCTTCATTTTATGTTGCGACCTCCAATATTTTTGCATACAATGACATTTTCAGCACATTTTTATGAGACAAACCAAATTTGCTTTTTTTTTTCTTTTTGAAAATATTTGAAACAAAAAAACTAACTGAAATAAATCAATACATAGCTAGAAGAAGTGTAATCCAGAAAAAATATTACATGAATTTAAAATAATATTCCATTTTTTCTTCCTTTTTCTTTTGTTTTCGTCTCATTTGATAATTTAAAATAAAAAAAATTTTGGAAAATTGTCCTTGTCAATTCAATGTCTGATAGGAAACTGCACAAGCTCAATAAAAAATTCTATCAAATTGAATTGAAATTGATTTAATGTCAACTGGTTTTATAGGTGCAATCGTTAAGATTACTCGAATGAAACTAAAGATAAGTAAATTGAAAATGAACTAAAGTTTTCGAAATTCTTGCATTCTGAATGTTATTGATGCACAAGTCATTACGATCGTAATAAGCGCTTTAAAAATTTTAAAATTCCAACAAATCACGTTTTTATTTCTCTCATATATTTGAGAATAATACCATATATTAGGTGGAGCATTAGCTAGACTATTTAACTATGTTCTATTTATTACAAAAATTTCAAATCCTGAATATTTTAAAAGGTATTTAATTTGCGTTTAATTTATTGAGCTTGAATGAAAATTTTCAGCTTAAAATTAAGCTTCTTATAATATCTCAAAATTCTAACTTAGTTTTTTTAAAATAATTTTTTAGCCATATTTTGCGATAAATTCAAAAGTAGAATTTCACGAAAACTGGAAAAAAATCACTGTACAATTCTTTCAGTCTTTCTTCCGTCTCTCATTAGATCAATTGATAGGAACTTGTTCCATTGCCAGTCACAATTAGGTTGTCACCGTAGATGTCATACGGTTAATTGAAATTTTAGTAGTTCCTATTTTGCCATAACATTCATCGATTTCATCGTACAAAGCATATCAACAACTGGTTCCAATAGTCAGGTACTATACCTGATATAAATCTAATCGAGGAATACCTTAAACTGTCTGGCAAATAGTTCAACTTATCTGTGATAGAGCGATATTGTATTTATATAAGTTAACATTTATTCGTTGGGGACATTTTTTGAGATAGGAAATTATTGAAAAATTGCTGAGGCATAAAATAAACATTAAAAATATGAGCTATGATTTTTTTTCTTCCTTTTTTTAAAAGGACATTCTCAAACAGACTCTCATTTTGGCAAAGATGACAAAGGGACGGAAGGTTATCCACAAAGTTGGAAATAATAATCATTGAACCGTTAAAGCCATCTGTTTCACCTCTTTAAAAATCATATTAACGATTGTTACGTATTTTTTTCAAATATTTGTCAAAATGGACGGATAATGAGTGGAAAAATCATAAAAATAGAAAGTGATCAGAATTTTTCGTTGAAAATAATTAATGAATTGAAAATTTTACATTTTCATTAAAAACTTTCATGTCTGTCTCTTTATATTTCCCTTCTTCTCTTCCTATCATAAATCCTACGTGCATCCGAATAATCATCAGATTTGACAGAATAACAATTTTGGTTAAGTGCATATCGTGCTATTTTCGCATGCACATACATTTTTTTCTTTGTTTTTGAAATAAAAAAATAACAAAATTTAACTCGTCAATTAATAAAAAAATAACACTTTTTTACGTTTCAAAATTAAAATTTTTGAAAATGAATTTTGATAAGTTTATATGAAATATTTGTTTAGCTTAGTAGAAGCGGAAAAGATGAGATTGATTGTGTATGGATCGAATAAAATTCCCAGTACTAATCATTATCTGAATTATCAATAATTATTATCATTTACTGCCTCTTCCAATGATAGTTTTAATTGATAAGAAAAGCAGAATGCTTAATTTATTATTTGATTTTCCCGCGATATCTCAGTACTTTGAGCCGTGTCAATATTGAATCATTTGAGTGAACTATCATCTCAGTATATTTCTTCTGGTGAGGGGGAGTTTGAATTTTTATGTGCTAAAAATTTTAAAAATTTGACATTAACTTTGCGCTTCCTATTCTGGGACAGTACAACTTTGGGATGAACGGTTTTCATCAACAAAATGATACATTTTAACGGATTTTTAACATTTTCTTTCTTTCCCAGTTGCTGGTTAATTTATGCTAACGTTTTACACGTTTAAATTACAATCTCTTTTGTGGAGATATTTTTTTCTTTATCAATTTTATCAACCAAAGTAACTTCCTGTCTTTCTTTTCTGTTTTTGGTGCATTAAATTTCGAGCTTAGCTAAAGATTGCTTAAGTTGAGGTTAGAATGAAAAGGCCAATCTATTTAATCATTTAATTTTGTGATATTTTATCATTAATTTCCTAGGTCATAAAAATGCATATGTATTCATCATTTTATTCGGCGAAATCATCTTTTTGTAATTTGTGTGGGGCTTTATTTTCGAGGATTTCAAGGCGATACGTTGTGAGAGTGTAACATTATTTTGAGAAATATTTTGTACTGTATTTTAAATTGGCTATTCCTGTTTTGACGTGATATGCTTATGGTGCTCCACTGACGTGTTTATTTTTACAATATGTTTACTTAATTTTCATGTTTTGTTTTTTTTACACAGGAATTTTTATTTACAATTTTATTTCATTGTTATGTAAATTTCCTAATTTTCGGTTCCTCTATCATATCGATGTCAGAACGATAAACGACTAATTCATTCATATTTTTCGTCGCCTTCTCTGTGATTTTTGCTATCATTTCCTCATACCTGTTTTTATGGCCGTCATTATTTGAAGCGGCAAACTGAGTTTCTATTTATATGTGTATCTCTTCCGCTTCCGCACCGCATATGAACATGGTAAAATATTTTATTTGGACTTATATTTATCATTCGGGTAAGGTATATGTTATGGATAGATTTTATTAAATTTAACTTTTTTTAAAATAAATTTAACTTTGATTTGTTTTTTTTTCTCACTATTCGTTTATTTCTTTTCATATATGCCTATTTATTTATTATCCATTTATTGTTTCATTGAAACAATGAATTAAGATATATACACTGTTAATCACATGATAAGAATGCCAATTATAATGGAAGTAATTTTTTTGAATAAGATCTAAAATATCTATATGTATCCTATCCTCATTTTTCAGGCAAAATTAGAACGGGTATTAGGTTGCACAGCTATTTCACGCTCGTCAGTATCTGTGGACGACAACAAAGGCATTGTAGCCTATCCGGCTGGGTAAACTTTTGTAGCTTTTTGGTTAATAAAAAGAAGTTATCCTGTGTATAGCAGTTGCAGCACAGCCATTTCAACTATTCTTTATTCAACATTAGTCACTTTGCATCGCAATCATTTGTGTGTATATATATAGTTTGCGGATTTCTTTTACATTCCCATGCATTTTCTATCTATTTTTCCCGTTGATAAAAAGGCGAAAATTTTTGACCAAAGTTTTTAACACTTAAGTTATAAATCAGAAATTAGAATAATATTTACGGATGTAGAACTTTTGCCGACATCTAAACAATGCATAAACGGAACTAAGATACTGAATCCTAAATATGTGTTTTGTTTCTTATTCCAGGGCTACCGTCATTCTTTATAATCCAAGAAATAACGCCCAAGCCCATTTAATTGGCACAACGAAAAACAACATAACATGCTTATCATTCTCTCTCTGCGGACGATACATTGCTACCGGAGAGGTATTCCTAGATTACTCAGTTCATAAAAAAACGAGATTTCTAGATGGAAGAAAAGAAGAAAGCTTCTTTGAGAAATTTAAATTGAAGTAATAGTGCAGCAGTAATTCCTTATCACATTTATTAAAATTAATCTTCAGACTGGACATGAGCCTCGACTTCGAGTTTGGGAACTTTACGATGCAAAAGGACAGTTTGCTTTCACACAGATTGTTGATATAAAGCATCATCAATTAGGGATCAGCTGTGTGGTAAGTTTTCAGTACTGCAGTTTCTGAATTTCATAGTCAGAAAATTTTGCAATTGTTGATTAAAAATGAATTTATAGGATATACTTAAGTTTTGGAAATAGTTTGCAATTAATCATTTTAGCGCTTTACGCCTAATGGATACTTGGTGTCAGTAGGAAATCAACATGATCGCTCTATTGTGGTTTGGGATTGGCGAGCACAACAAAAAATTGCTGAAAATCGTCTAACTTCGAAGGCGAGTATTTTTTCTGTAGTTTAACGTTCTTCACTTTGTACGTATTCTGATATACAAAATTTATTACGCTAACATTAATGCATAGAATTCAGTTTGGTTTGCTAGTGAGTCGAATTTGAAGTCATTTCGGTATGATGTAGGTAGTACATGGAAACATATTTAAAGTTATTTTTTCAGGTTAATTCAATTGACATTACAGAACAAGGTGGGTGTGTAACAGTAGGAATTAGACACGTTAAATTTTGGCATGTTGTAAGAAATCCAGAGAGTTCGAAGAGTGTACCCTTGCAGGTATGGAAATTAAAGTGTAAAAGTTGGAATTTTGACTTTTTCTTGTTGAAACGAAGGACTATTTTTTTCAGCAAAGATCAAATTCTTGACTTTTAATTTTGTTGTGGTTTTTATTTTGCATTTGCACTTCACTTTTTTTCGGTTAGACTCCGATTTTAGGATTAGATTTTAAATTTAAATTATATCTAAGTTATTTCCAGGGTCGTTCAGCAATTTTGGCTGATCAGCGAAATAATACCTTTTTGGATGTTTGTTGCGCTCCCGGTAATCGAACATTTTCAGTTACGGAAACGAGTCTTTTGATTGAATTCCATGATAAAAAGGTAATAACTAAATGAAGGCATCTCTAAGCATTTATGTAAATTTGTTCCAGCTACATTCATTTTAGTGATATAATTTTGCACTTTTCTTTTTCTTTCTTTTCTTTTACGTCCATTTTTCTTTTTGCAAACATTTTTCTATTTTTCAATTTATCTACAACATGAGAAATGAACTATTGAACCAGTGTTTCTGTTTGAGTGATGAGGGTGAATAGTGGAGAAGCTCCATCTTTATATTTATCGTACACAATCAAATGAAATTGTGAAGTTCTCCAGTTATCACTCTTATTCATTAAGAATATAACTTTCTTTCGATATCTTGACAGTTTTAGTTTTCTCGACATTCACATTAAGATTTAATTTTATATGCCTTTATGAAATTATTCCGTCAGCTGAACTTATTTCAGTTAGTGAATACCTATGATCTACACACTGAAATTCCACGGTCAATAGTGCTTGGAATTGATGAATTGTTTATTGGATTCAACAATGGTTTTATAAGATGTTTGGATATCGTGACAATGAAACATAAATTTACATTTTGTAAACCACACTATTTATCGTGTGATGTTGCGGAAGGTGTAAAACAAGATGCACTATCACCTGATTCACATCCGGCAGGGTGTAGGTCGGCAATTTTTTTTAGTTAAATTTGTAAAAATTAAAGTTGATAATCGCTTCAAAATCAAAGGAAAAATTAACTACGGAGATTATTTTTACTGGAGCAAGAAAATAAGTTTTCTGAGAATAGTGGCCTCATTGAAACATAATTGTATATGATACAAGTTTGGCACTTATATGCTTTTCAGATATCCAGATGTACGAACACTAACATATAACAGAAGGACTGGAATGCTTACTGTGATTTATAGCGATAGATCCATTTATACATGGCAACAAACGGATCAGAGTATTCTCAAAATTTCCTCACAACTTTTCCATGTTGGACCAGTGATTTCACTAGAGGCAAGCTCTAGAGAAAGTTTTTTGGTTTACTTTTGTTTTCAATGAATGACATGAGTTTTACAGGTTTATCCTCCAAATTTTGACTGGTTACCACAAGGTTCAATCATAACGGGTGGTACGGATCAAACTATTCGCATATGGAATGTGGATCATCTGTTAAGATCATTTGATGAGGTTTGTTTTTTGCCTAAGCAGTAGTAAATTTTGTTCAGAATTCTCAAACTGAATAAGTCTTAAGTTTTTTTTTTTTCAAACTGAATAAGTCTTAATGTTCATAAATAAAATATATTCTATCTCTTGCAGAATAAGCGGACTTCGTTGCCATATGCAAATGTGTTTTCGGAGGACTTGAAAAAAGTTATTTTTGTCACCAGTAATGATTCTCAACTTAGCGAATCACCAGATGGCATGTTTTACTTTATCTTAATAGAATGGACTTTTTGACAACTCAGATCAGCGATATCATTCACCACTGTATGATAATTAGTCTAAAAGTAATAAGAGTGAAATAGGAGATGTCAAATTTTTGAATAATTGACGGTTCTCAGTATCCTTTCAGAAGTTTTTGGAACATCTATATCTGATACAGGCAGTGGCGTGAAATGTTTGAAAGTAAGTCCCGATGGAAAACATCTGGCTGCTGGCAGTCGAGATGGAAATTTGTCGTAAGTTTCTAGTTTTTTCAAAAAAATTTTATAACAGAATGGCATGTTACTGCGGAATATTTCTTGAAAATCGTCAATCAAATTGTTTCAGTATTTATGATTTAACCACGCCAACTATGGAAATGATTGCATTTTTTGAAGCACATGAAAGTGATATTATGTGCATGGAGTATTCTGATCCGCAAAGTCGTGAGTTTGAACCGTAATTTTTCAGCGAAATATAAAGAGTTCTTCATTTGCTTTAATAAGACTTTTACTTCCGTTTGTTAGTTAATGTTATTAGAAGATGAAGGACTACTTTAAAAAAATTAAGAGCATAAATAAGAGATGAATAACTTTAATATATAAATAAATAAGAGATGAATAAGCATAAGTTTCGTTGCTGACACTTGATAGATAATTTTCAGTAGTACATTTTACATGTACTTCTTTTTCCCTGAATATTTTCTATCTTTTCTAGCTAGTAGATTTTGCAACGTCTCCTTTTACAGCTTTTTGTAATTTTACTATTTCAGCCCGTTATCTACTAGCTACTGGAAGTCGAGATCGCATGGTGCACTTATTCGACCCACTTAATGGCTATCGACCATTAGCAAGTATTGATGATCATACAAGCACTGTAAATTCTATACTTTTCGCAGAGGTTTGTGATAAAATTTCTAAGTGCTAGAGAAATTTTCTAGATTATTTGTAAGATATCTTATTAATCTGCAAGAAAACTGAGTAGGTGTATTGCAGGAAGCAGGTAATTTACAGCTGATAAGTTCTGCTGCTGATCGTTCAATTGTAATTAGGAAGATGGTCGACTCAAAAGTAACTTTGCAATGAATTTGATTTTTTTTTTTTGAAATAGGATATTGTTACTGTTTTTGGAGAAAGAATATGTAGTAAGTTTAAGCAAATTAGATAATTTGCGATTATTAAAACAGATAGGCTATAAAGTTTGATCAGAATAATAAATTAAACAGTAGGGTACAAATTATTATTTATTTCTGTAGGAATATGTAAGCTCAGTCTATTATTACAGTACTATTCCGAACCTGTTTTTTCTATGAAGAGCATTTAGGCCATTTGTTTATTGAGAAAAATATTTTAACCTTTATCGATTTTGATCTAGCTATATTTCTATTAAAAGATTCTTTACAGCCATCTTCGGTAACTTTTTCACGCATAAGCCACATAAAGTCTCAGTTTGGCTTGAACTATGTCGTGCTGAGTGCAGACGGAATGGTTGCCGCCTGCCAGGATCGTCAGCTTCGGACATATTCATCTCAGGGAAAGCTTGTCAAACAAATTAAAGGCGCTGCAAGTGATGATGGACAGCTCACGAGGGTTACTATATATTAGTATTAACCTATGCATTTAATTTAATCCATCTGATTCGTATATGATGCAATTTGAAATTTTATAGTGCAGCTTTCATCTCCAAATTATAAATAATATGTCCGAAAATACTTTTGCATCTCCTTTACTTATCATATAGGTACGATTGGATCCATCGGGAATTTATGCCGCAACAGTATGTACAAATCGAAATGTATATATAATTGATATCGCCACTGGAGAATTTGTTTCCGTATTGACTGGTCAGTCGGATAACATCACAGATATTGCTTTTTCCGCTGATTGCAGGTTAGTTTTGAGATCGGATGAAGTTTGAACATTCAATAGTATTTAAAAAAGAATGATATACGTCATATTATAACTGCTCTATAGTATAAACTGTTTATAATAGTTATGTGTTAGTGTCAGTAATTATGTCGAATTAATGATCTACCTCAGCAATAGTATGGAAAGTAATCAGTTTTGCTATGGTTTTGCAGACGTCTATATGTTGTGTCCTATAGTGGTTGCATTTTTGTATGGCGATTGTCCAATTTTCTTGTCAACAAAATGATGGCTGTTTCACGAAAATCTCAAATCACTAGGAATATTGGCATCGTAGGAATAGAAAAACTTTGTGAACGGTAGGCAGAATTTTGCAGAATATCCATCTGTTTACATGTTTTTTTCTTCTTCTTCAGTCTTTTATATATTCGTCAGACTTCTGCAGAAGTCTTTAGTATATGCCATTGTTTGTAAAAAATGATTTGTGTAATATAGAAGTGAACTTTCGAATTCTCCTATGTAAAATACATAATTATTAGGTCCGAAACACCTGACAGTTTATTGGGAAGTGGCAGTGATGCAGCTGGTGATGAGCACATAGAATATATACGAAATCTGAAGGTTAAATTTTGTTATTGATTTTTTCCTAAGTTTAACCAATAGTACTAAAGATGAAAATAATCATTGGGCGGTGATAACGTTAGCTTAATTATCATTTTTAGGCAAGCTGGCATAGGTACCAATAAATCTTAATACTAATGATGGAAATGTTTATGCAGATCTTTGTTGAAAAATACAACTCAAACATCTTTTAATTATATTTGTTTTTGGTCTTTGTTCCCACTGCTTTCACTATGATAAGAGAGTTATCACAACTTGAGCAAATTGGAAAATTGCTTCATCCAGAAATCAATAAATTAGTATTTTTATAGGTAAAAGACTCAGAATCCGAATTTGGTTCACTAAACAGCATTAAAATTGGTGATGGAGATTCGGACAGTTGCATGGGGCGAAAGTCAATAACAATGATTATCAATACTCCATTGAATAGTGTGATTACAGAGTACGCTTTTTCCGTTTCATGTATTTCATGACTTCCTCTTTTGATTTGTTATGAAAGGGAAGCGAAATCGAAGTTAATGAATAATGATGTATTTTAGCCATTTGTCTGAAAACTTTCGAGACAGTTTGCGCCATAGCTTGACTGCACTATCCTTGACCTTCATTCTTGTGTATGGAAAATGTACTCCGTCCACTTTACAATGGGAGATAAAAATATGGCAATTTAGAAGAGCTGCACAGGCATGTGCAACTGATCTTCATACAATGCACATTCAGTTTAAGGAGTAGGCGAAATATAAAGAGAAGAAACAAGTAGTTAAATCTGTCGCATCATTTGCGTATTTAATGAGTTATGTTTCA